GGTTTGTTAATTAAATTTTGGCAAATTTAAATTGGTTTTTTTTTTTTTGTTTGTTTGAAGAAAAAAGAAAGTTTTAAATAAAATATTTATTTAATTTGAAGATTGAATAAATTTTTTGGAAAAAAAGAAAGGTATTGTTGAATTATTTTAAAAATTTTAATTGTTATTACTATTTTAGCTTAAATTTTATTATTATAGCTATTTTAATTTTAATTACTATAGTTATTTAATTAATCATTGTTAGTCTAAATTAATAATAATATTTTAATAACTGTTATTTGTAATAATATTAATATTTGCTATGCATTATAAGGTTTGTTAATTAAATTTTGGAAAATTTAAATTGGTTTTTTTTTTTTGTTTGTTTAAAGAAAAAAGAAAGTTTTAAATAAAATATTTATTTAATTTGAAGATTGAATAAATTTTTTGGAAAAAAAGAAAGGTATTGTTGAATTATTTTAAAAATTGTTATTTGTTATTTTAATTTCAATTAATATTAGTCTAAATTAAAGACAATATTTTAATAACTGTTATTTGTAATAATATTAAAAAAAAAAGTGTTGTTGAATTATTTTAAAATTTTAATTATTATTTGTTATTTCAATTTTAATTAATATTTGTCTAAATTAAAGACAATATTTTAATAACTGTTATTTGTAATAATATTTAAAAAAAAAAGTATTGTTGAATTATTTTAAAATTTTAATTATTATTTGTCATTTCAATTTTAATTAATATTTGTCTAAATTAAAGACAATATTTTAATAACTGTTATTTGTAATAATATTTAAAAAAAAAGTATTGTTGAATTATTTTAAAATTTTAATTATTATTTGTTATTTCAATTTTAATTAATATTTGTCTAAATTAAAGACAATATTTTAATAACTGTTATGTGTATTAATATGGTAGTATTAAATTATTTAAGTAATTAAAATTTAAAACTAAAAAGAAAAATAAATGAAAAACAAGAAGGAATGTTGTTTCATCTAAAAAAATCACAAAAAATCGTTGCTCAATATTTTGGTTAATTCTATTTTTAGATATATGCAAAAGTCGAAAGTGGAATTCGACAGGTGCGACAGATAGGAAATGATCAATCAAGTGTTGTGTTTGGTGCCCCGGCATCACCAACAGGTGAATGTTGTGGATGTGGTGTTTCACCGCCGGGTCCAGCCGGTCCACCGGGTGAGGATGGTAATGATGGTGCTGATGGTGAAAGTGGACCACCTGGTAAAGATGGCCAGGATGCACCACAGGAACCACCTACACCGCCGAAAATCGATTGGTGCTTTGAGTGTCCTGATGCACCGGCAGGACCACCTGGTATACAGGGACCGAAAGGAGTTCCAGGCAAGCAGGGTTCACCAGGTCCAGATGGACCTGTTGGTAGCAGTGGTCCAGCTGGTGAACCAGGACCAGAAGGACCAGTAGGACCTCCTGGAGCACCGGGTGAGAAAGGTCCTGCTGGACCACCAGGTACTGTCATTGAAAAAGAAGGACCAGTAGGTGCACCAGGAAAAGCAGGAGAACCAGGTTTACCAGGACCTAGCGGCGAAGCAGGAGCAGCTGGTAAAACTGGATCAGATGGACCAGAAGGACCACCAGGAGATGCAGGCATAGATGGACCACCCGGAAAACCTGGATCTGATGGTGATAGGGGACCAGATGGTGAAGCTGGACCACAAGGTACCTGTGATGCTTGTCCACCTCCAAGGACAGCACCTGGTTATTAAGTTAATCGTTTAACAATTCACCCTTTTGTGTTATCATTGATTGTACTGCTACTAAACTTTCAATTTGAGCTTTTTATTTTTAAAATTGATAATTACATTCATTGTGTGATTAATTTAAAAATGATAAATTCAATTGAACTCAACCACTTGTCAATCATTTTGACTTCAATTTATTATCAGATAAATTGATAAAAATGATAAACTCTACTAAACTCAACCACTTGTCAATCATTTTGATTACATTTCATTTCAATTTGTTATCAGATAAATTGATAAAAATGATAAACTCTACTGAACTCAACCACTTGTCAATCATTTTGATTTCAATTTATTATCAGATAAATTGATAAAAATGATAAACTCCACTAAACTCAACCACTTGTCAATCATTTTGATTATATTTCATTTCAATTTATTATCAGATAAATTGATAAAAATGATAAACTCCACTGAACTCAACCACTTGTCAATCATTTTGATTTCAATTTATTATCAGATAAATTGATAAAAATGATAAACTCTACTGAACTCAACCACTTGTCAATCATTTTGATTACATTTCATTTCAATTTATTATCAGATAAATTGATAAAAATGATAAACTCCACTGAACTCAACCACTTGTCAATCATTTTGATTTCAATTTATTATCAGATAAATTGATAAAAATGATAAATTCTACTGAACTCAACCACTTGTCAATCATTTTGATTACATTTCATTTCAATTTATTATCAGATAAATTGATAAAAATGATAAACTCTACTGAACTCAACCACTTTTCAATCATTTTGATTTCAATTTATTATCAGATAAATTGATAAAAATGATAAATTCTACTGAACTCAACCACTTGTCAATCATTTTGATTACATTTCATTTCAATTTATTATCAGATAAATTGATAAAAATGATAAACTCCACTGAACTCAACCACTTGTCAATCATTTTGATTACATTTCATTTCAATTTATTATCAGATAGATTGATAAAAATGATAAACTCTACTGAACTCAACCACTTGTCAATCATTTTGATTTCAATTTATTATCAGATAAATTGATAAAAATGATTTTTTTTTTTTTTTTTTATCATAGCTCTTCAAATTCATACATACAATCCAAATAGCAATGAAAATGAATAAAATATTTTAAAATTGAAGTTAAATTTAATTTACTGTTAAAAAAACAATGGTTTTAGTTAAAATAAAAGAAGTTAAGAAAATGATATTTTCTGTAAAATTTTTAATTTAATAAAGTAAAATGATATAAATGAATGAATTTTATTTTTCTAAAACTGAACATTAACTTTTTAATTTTTTTTTTGGAAGTCATACTTTAAGCTAACTTTTTGCTAATTAAATATTTATGCATTATTGTTTAAAAATTAAATAAAAAATTAATTGGACAAAAAAAAATATTTTACAATTATTTTGATTGGTAATTGAACGGAAAATCGCATTACTGTAATGATTTTATCAATTAGATTTTTCAATTTCAAATTGATTAATTTCATTTAAATGAATTTCATCTAGTTAATTTCATCTAATTATTTAATTAAAAATTTAAACTTTTCTAAATTTCAATAAAACATAAAATAACAAAACAAAAAAAGCAATCTTATAGTAAAAATTAACTTTACTTTACCTATAAATATTACTGATAAAATTCCTCTAAAAATGATAACAGTTGGATAAGCATTAAATGATAATATGTTTTACCTGAATTCATTGCTTATACTTTATCAATTCTTTTTCAAATTATCAAATCATCAATTTGATATATTAATCCATGAAATACAAGAAATTCAATTATCTAAAATAATTTTTGATAACTTGATAAAATTTGATTTTAAAAAGAATTATAAAATGCACACACAGATTTTATGATTGTATATTTTGATCCAAAAAAAATACAAAAATTTGATATGTAAAAAATTTATTTTAAAGTTTTCCTTTGTTGCAAATTAATAAAATGAAATAATCAGATGCGAATATGATTAAACAATGATTTAAATAGTTTCACATAAATGATTGAAAATTGAATCATTAGACATACGAAATAGTAATCATTTAAAATTAATTATAAAACTTTTCAGATTTTAAAAGTTTTTCAAAATTTGTGAAATCTTTTAGAAAAACAAAATTTTAAAAGAAAGAGATTAAAGATGAAAAAATAAACATTCTGACAATCTTGTATGGCTAATTTAATACTAGGTATAATTATATTTTAACTTTTTTTTTCATTCTTCAAGTATTTATAAAGTTAGAAAGCTAATAACATAAAAAAAAATAAAAAAATTTTTTTGAAAATATTTGGAAGCATATTTTCTTTTTCTTTTCTTGAAAAAATTTAAAAATGAATGTATCAATGTATGTAATAAATATGCTAAAGTAAATCATCGTTCTTTTGTTGTTTATTTTTTTTATTTAAAAGAAAAAAAAGACGAAATAACACAAAAGTGAGAATAACATTTCAATAACAATAAAAGTACGATATCCTTTTTTTTTAATTCTTATTTTTCTCTTTATTTAAATCAAAATTGGATTTTAATTTATTGTATTGCTAATTTATAATAAATGAAAATGTTATTTTAGCTTGAAAAATGCTTAGTGAAATTTTTTTCTTTTTTAAAGGATTTTTTTTTTTAAATTTAATACTTCAATTTCTTGTTATATTCTTTATTTCCGTATAATTTCATCAGTTTTGGTATGTTATTGATCAGAAATTCAGCATAGGAAATGATTTATATTTTATAGAGAAGTATTATAAAGTTTAGTATTAGTATGAAAAATTTGTAAATAAAAAATCCTTAACACTTTTAAATTTATTAAATAAGTACTTTCAAACACGTTAAATAACAAATATAAAATTTAGTATAAAACATAAAAATTAATGTGAATTTATTCCGGAATATATAATAAAACAGTAATGTTTAAAATTTTATATAATAAATGAAAGTATTATTTAGCTTAAAAATGTTCAGTGGAATTTTTTTTGCTTTTTTAGAGATTTTTTTGCAAATTTAATGTTTTAATTTCTATATTTTGAAGTAAATTAAATAAATAGTATTTGTAATTCTTATAATAAATTAAATAAATAATTCTAATTTAATCAAAATATTTTTGTTATTTGTAAATTTGCTTAACAAAAAATTTAAATTTATAGCTTAATGAAAGGGAAATATTGGAAATATTATCTTCTCTGGTTATTCGGAAATGATATTTTCCTGAATACTAATTGTCTTCCGGATTTTATAAAAAAAATGCCCACAGAGAAAAGAATGGAATATGAAGCGTTATATGAGCAAAAACCATTTCTTACAAGAACTGAATTCTATGATTTATGTCAAGATTGGGCACAAAAACAAGGAGCTACTATTAAGGTAATTAATTACTAATTAGTTTTACATAATCTTTTGCAAGTTTTACTGTAATGTTTGATGTCAAATTGCTGTATTTTAAGGTTTTACTGTAATGTACAGTATTGAATAACTGTCACTGTAACGTTTGTTAGCCAAATACTGTATCTGCAAGTATTACTGTAACGCTCAGAATCGTGTAAGTGTTACTTTAACGCTTGATACTCAATTACTGCAGTTGCAGGCATTACTGTAGCATTTTGCACTGTACAAATAGTACTGTAGCGCCTGTTGACTAATTACTGTATCTATAGGTATTACTGCAATGTACAGCATTGCGTAAGTGATACTATAGCGCTTTATAACCCAATACTGCATGTGTAGGTATTACTGTAGTGTACAGTACTGTGTAAGTGCTATTGCAACGCTTGATATCCAATTACTGTATCTGTGGATATTACAGCAATGTACAGTATTGAGTAAGTGCTACTGTAACAATTGTTACAAAATGATAAAATTTGAAAATTTGGAATTGTTTGATTATATCATAATTGAAAATATTTATGGAAAAATATAAATTTATTTTTACAATTTTAAAAAATTTAAAAATAATTACAGAAAAAATATCGTGAATATCGTTTGCATGAAGAACGATATATCAAGCAACGTGATCAAGTTCTCAGAGATCGATTAGATCAAGTAAATGGTAGTAATGCAGCAAAGAATTACTTATATGAATTACTTGATTTGCAAAGTAATATGAGTATAACTTTGAAAGTATATGAAACAAGAGAGGAAGAAATGAGACATTATATTTTAGCTACTGTATTACAAGAAGCTACTAAAATATGGAATTTATTGGATCCTGCACATATTGATTAATTATAAAGTAATAATTATTTATTACTTAATGATATGCTAATGATTAATGGATTGTATTAATATTGTTATCAGTTATTGATAATCATTGCAGCAGTAATAATTATTACTATTTAATAATATGATTATGAGTTATTTGATTATATTAATATTGTTATCAATTATTGATAATCATTACAATAATAATATTTATTATTATTGATTTTACTAATATTGCTTAGTGATACTAATATGCATATGAGTTATTTAATTTTACTTATATTGTTATCAATCGTTGATAATCATTTCAGTAATAATAATTATTACTATTTAATGATATGATTATGAGTTATTTGATTGTATTAATATTGTTATCAATTATTGATAACCATTGCAGTAATAATAATTAGTACTTAATGATATGATTATGAGTTATTTGGTTGTTTTAATAATGTTATCAATTATTGATAATCATTTCCATTAATGGTGTAGTTTGGCTAATCAAAATGATAAAAGTTAAGGATTTTTTTTCTAATTCAAAAACTTTTATTATTATAAAAGCGAAAAATATTTGAATTACACAATTGTATCCAATAACTTTTATCAATTATATTCATTTCAGCTTATCTTTTCATACTTATTTTGAAAATTTGTATTAACATTAAATTTTATTTAGAAATATTATTGCAAAGAAATTAGCTTTTAAAATAAAAGAAAAGTATATCGCTACATTTAAGCTAATATTATGTTTACAAAATTGTAATAAGCAGCGATAATTTATCAAATTAAATTATAACTAATATATTCATTTGCAAAAAAAAAAAACAAATCAAATTAATTGAATTAATTATCATACCCCAATTTTTTAATAAAATTATGAAGTGCTTCAAATTTATTAATTTTGTAAGATACCTACACAATGCTTCATTACTAATTAAATTAATGAATTATCAGATATTAATGCTTTATTTTACTATTTTATAAATTATCAAAAAGTAGCATTAGTGAAAAAAAAAGCTAAAAAATATTGAAATGATTACGGATGAAAGCAAAAATTTTTAGCAATATTTATATCCCACAAATTTTAAGTAATAATAATGCGCAAAATATTAATTTAATTTTTCAATTTAAATTTGTAACACAATCTTTATTATAAATAATATTAAATGTCGTTCATTTTTTTCGTCTAATAAGCATAAAATTTATTAAATAACATTTAATTGGTCAATTAGGTGATTCATTAATTAGGAGAATTATAAATTAATGAATTAGCAAATTCATCGCAAAATTAATATTTAGTATTATAATTTAGTAAATTTGATAAATCAAAATAAATATATGATTTCAAAAAATATATGCTTTACTTTTTAATAAATTCATTAAATTTAATTTATTTTAATTATACTATTAATTCATGAACTCCTTGATTTGCTATTACTGTTTGATTATTAAAATTATTGTAGCGGTAAAAGTGTAAATATAATTCAAAAATTATTTTCATTTCTCAAAATAAAAAATTTTTAAAAAAAAACAATAAAAAAGATGGAAAAAAAGAAAAAAATACGATCATTTTATTTTAAAATTAGTTTCATTTTAATAAGTATTAATTGAATTCATTTTGACAATTTTATTTTAAATCATTTTAATTTCATTTAGATAATTTTAAACTTATTATATCAAATTATTAATTAATAAATTCAATTAATACTTAGAGCATATTGTCAAGACTAGTTGTAGTCAAAATTTCACCTGTTAAAAGCAAATTCAAATATTATTTAAATTTCTTCATGCGTAAACAACTATAATGGAAACTTTAGTTTTAGCATAGGTTTAAATCATTAAATTTTGTTTTTCTTTTTTACTTTATCAAATTTTTACAAATGATATTAAATTTCATTTAGATAAATTTAATCATTTATCACATTTTCTCTACTAGAATGGGAAAAGAAAATATTATAATAATGAATTAAACTTAATTTATCAAAAATGAAAAGGAAAAATTTTATTTATGCATTTTTATTTATTTCATTCCAAAACTTTTCCAATTGCTTTTTTATTTGATAATTAAAATTTATTTGATAATTTAGTCGTTGTAATTGATTTTATTTAAAAATGTTTTTTTTTTCTTTTTGCTAAAACTGTTAATCTAATTTGTATAACTAAATCTTTCTTAGAATCTTTTTTAAATTTAAAATAAAACTATATCAATTATTTTTTACTAGTAAAACAAAAAATTTTACTAACAAAACTTATTTTTTTTGATTTTATATTTTAGAAAAGTTAAACGGCTGATTTATTTTATTTTATTTTTGTTTTGATTATAATTTAAAAAATTAAAATTTGAATTATAATTTAACAAATTATCATAACTACTATGATTTTTAAAAATTTTCATTGTTTTTTTCATATTTTTAGATAGGTAATAAAATTTTTGACTATATTAACTTATACAAATTAAAATATGCTTTTGCTCTATTTAGTAAAAATAAAAAATAACAAATATTTTAAAAACTCTTTTATTTCAGCAAATATGTTCTAATTTTTGTATTATTTTTGCTTTTTTTTTTTTAAGGTATTCAAATTTTGCATAATCTATAAAAAGTATTCTAAAATTTTTTCACTTCTAAAATTATTCAGTATTGTCATATAGTGATAATAATATCACTAATTTCATTAATATTATTAATTACAATTAGTAATGCATTTAATGTTGTAATGATAAAATTATTTGTTGCTGAATAAATTTTACTTTTTTAAATAATAAACTAAATAATATAACACTTTTTGTTCTTTTATTTTCTCAAACTTTTTAAAACTTACAACTTTAAAAAATTAACTCTTTTTTTTTCAAAATACCTGGCTAATTTATTGGTTTATTTCAAAACAGCTGGCTAATTTTTATTGTCAAATATTAAAAATTTTTCATATCCAATCAATTGAGATAATATTTGCTTCCATAAATTTATTCCATAAATTTTGTTACATTCTTTTTCTTAACATATTATTACTTTCATAGTTTATTTATTTGAAAAAATACATGAATAATATGAAGCAAGAAAAATACCATAGTCTAACTGATAGTGCAACTGATTAGATGATAATAATATCACTATGATAGTCTAACTGTTAGGTGGTAGTAATATCACTATGATAGTGCAATTGATTATGTGATAATAATATCACTATTATAGTCTAACTGATCATGTGATGAACTATGATAGTCTAATTGATTAGATAATAATATCGCTATAATAGTCTAACTGGTCAGGTGATAATAGTATCACTGTGATAGTCTAACTGATTAGGTGATAATAACATCACTATGATAGTCTAATTGATTAGATAATAATAATATCGCTGTGATAGTCTAACTGATTAGGTGATAATAATGCCATTGTGATAGTCTAACTGATTAGGTGATAATAATACCACTGTGATGGTCTAACTGATTAGGTGATAATAATGCCATTGTGATAGTCTAACTGATTAGGTGACGATGATACCACTATGATAGTCTAACTGATTAGGTGATAATGGCATTTATACGATAGTCTAACTGATTAGGTGATAATAATACCACTGTGATGGTCTAACTGATTAGGTGATAATAATACCATTGTGATAGTCTAACTGATTAGGTGACGATGATACCAATATGATAGTCTAACTGATTAGGTGATAATAATACCACTGTGATGGTCTAGCTGATTAGGTGATAATAATAATATCAGTGTGATACATTTATAAGAATGAATAATGATTTCAGTTATATTCCATAGTATTCATCGTAATCTTTCGTGTCATAATTTTTCGGTTGATCATATATCATTTTACTGATATTTGATATGTTAAGAATATTAGCATCCTCAGAAAAAAAAGAAAGTATAATTTAAAAATTTGTTTATTTTGTCTAAATATCCAATAGCATTAGTATCAGAAATGGAAATAAATTCCTTAGAATTGATAATTAAATCATTTCCATATCAGTGATAAGTCATTTCCATATCAGTAATGATTCATTTTCATATCAGTGATAAATCATTTTCATATCAGTAATAATTCATTTTCATATCAGTGATAAATCATTTCCATATCAGTAATGATTCATTTTCATATCAGTAATGATTGATTTTCATATCAGTAATGATTGATTTTCATATCAGTAATAATCTTTTTATGTTATCCATTAAATTATTTCGATTTAAGATAGCATTTGATTTTGGGATTTGAATTGATTAGCTATAATTTCAATTAATAAATAACAATTTAGCATAAAAAAAACAAAAAAACAAAAACAAAACAAATATGAATTAGTTAAAGCGCATGCATGCATTTCACTTTTTAAAAAAAAATTTTTTTTCAAAAATTATTTCATATTATATCGTTTTTGTTTTTATTTTTGTTTTTGTTTTTGTTTTTTTTTTGTAAACAAAATTTATCAAATTTACATTTTCTTTTACATATTTATCATTTAATTAATCAAAATAAAAATGAATTTAATTAATATAATTATTACAAAAATATAAATTCAAATTAAAATTTTATTAAATTTAATTACAATATAAATGATCAAAAAAAAAAACATTCTATTCAAATATATTTTTTTTTTCCACTTATTTAAATATTAATTTAAAAAAAAAAAAAAAAAAAAAACAAAGAAAAAGAGAAAAAGAAAAAGAAAAAAAAAAAAGAAAGAGAAAGAAGGAAATATTAGAAAAAGGATAAATGATAGAGAAATCAGTTGAGACTAAAGGCCAAAAATACATATATACTTCATTTTCAAATGGGTATCTATCATTATATTTATTTGGCTCCAAGGCTTTTAAGATTGGAAGATTAAACAGAGAGAGAGAGAGAGAGAGAGAGAGAGAGGGGAAGAGAGAGGGAGAGAGAGAATAAGCTAAATAAGTCTGTTCTCAATTCATTTCAAAACATATTGAATGAATAGCAGCAAAAGGGCGAAAAAGGGAAAAGCGGAAGAGGGGGATAACATTGAAATGCTTTTGGCTAATATAACTAAAATA